TCTTTGCAGGAGCCTGGGAGCCTCGGCCTGAAGGGCCCCTGCCTCTGGATATTCCCCAGGCATCCCCCCAGCAGGTAAATTGCCTCTCTTCCCTGGCCGAAGAACCCACCTGGCAGAACAGCCTGTCCCTGAGGCAGTATTGGGGCCTTGATCTTGGGGGCTTTTGGTGACTCAGGGTCCGCTCTTTGAGCCCCACCTCTTGCCCTAGGTTCAGCGCTGTGTGGAGATCTTGAGCCGAGCCAAAAGGCCCCTTATGGTGCTGGGGAGCCAGGCCCTACTGCCCTTGACACCTGCCCACAAGCTTCGGTGAGAAGCATCAGCCCTGCTTTTACTATCACATTCCTGGTCCTTGGTCCCCTGGTGCCCTGTGGGGACGGGCAGGCCCTTGGCCACACTTAACTCTGTTTACTTGGAACTGCAGGGCTGCCGTGGAGACCCTGGGTGTTCCCTGCTTCCTTGCTGGGATGGCACGAGGGCTGCTGGGCCGAAACCACCCCCTCCACATCCGGCAGAACCGCAGTGCCGCCCTGAAGAAGGCAGATGTTGTCCTCCTTGCAGGTGGGCCTCGTCCTCCTCTTCACCCTTCCCTTTCCCTCACTCCAGAACTTCCCCCTTACCCTGTGATCTTGCCCCTCCTCGGCTGGTATTCGCTGGCCCTACCCCTTCTCCTTTTAAGGGTTTTGAACAACCCTGAATTTGAAATTCAGGTGAACTTTTGCCAGGTTGCAGTTGTGACCCAGCTTTGCACAATGGAGGACACACAGATCGTGGACCCATGGAACTTTTCTGCACAGCATTTACATTTGTATGCATTATACAGCATTTATATTTTATACAGTGCATACACATACGGCATATCCATTTTCACATAAAGTGCTTTGAATCCTGCCAGACACATAATCGTGTATCAGTTTTATTGCTGTGTGGGTATTAGCCCAAACTCAGTGGCTTAAAATGTAGTTATTTCTCAAGACCCACCTACAGGTAAGGTGGTAGTTTTTCTGGTTTTGGCAGGGCTCATTCAGGAGTCGGCAGTTGGGGAGGCAGAAGGGCAGCTGTGCTGGTCCTGGCTGGGCTAGTTCAGATACATGGGGGTTGGCTGGAGCTATAGCTGGTCTAGCATGGCCTCAGCTAGGATTCTGAGTTCTAACTTTTCCCTACCATCTCCTCCTCCATGTTGCTCATCATTCAGCAGGTTGGCCTGGGCGGGTTCACTTGGTGGAGGATGAAAAACATGTAGGGTTGGGGGAGCAAGGTTATTTAAAGAGAGAGTGGAAATTTGTAAGGCACATCCTGAAGTTGTAAAGCACTCCTGACACATCCTGCTGGCCAATTCACATTCTGAGGCCTGCCCAGGTTCAAGGGCTGGGGAGGGGAGCTATCAAGTCTGCCACAGGGTGGCATGGGTTCAGGGAGAGGTGAAGAATGGGCATGCTTTTGTATTCAGTCTGCTATGGTGGATTAAGTTAGGTAGTAGGCACCCCCTAGGACACTGGCCCTCCATCTACCGTTCCCCTATCCCCTACCCCAGGAATTGTGTGTGACTTCCGCCTGTCCTATGGCCGTGTCCTCAGCCGAAGCAGCAAGATCATCATTGTCAACCGTAACCGGAAGGAGATGTTGATCAACTCAGACATATTCTGGAAGCCCCAGGAGGCCATTCAGGGTGAGCCCCTAATGCCCCACACATGTGCTCCTTCTGGGCCCTCTCCGCCTGGCTTCTGCTGCAGCTGGCTTGAGCTGGGTTCTGGACCTTGCCCTATGGGGTACCCAGTCAGCTAGAGACATATATTTGGCTCTCAGACTAATAGGTGCTTCTGGATGAACAAATGGTGGGTGTGCACCAGAGGAAAGGCCTGGGAATGTGCATGTGACTATGTCCCCTGGCTGCAAACCCTCTCATGCTGCCTGTTGCTGTTAGGACAGAGAGCTCACTCCTTGGCCCCTGAGGCCTCTCTTGTCCTGTCATAACCTCCACCCTTGTTCAGTCCTCTTCCATGGTCTTTCTGTGCCCTGCTTTGCCCATTATTCCAAGGATATTGACTTCCTTGCTGTATTGGTCAATGAAGAAGTGGTACTGCTTCATTCATATTTGAGAAGGTCCATTGTAGCAGCTGGGTGGGTAGCGAGTTAGAGGGGCCAGGCGGTGTCAAGGGGTCTGTCAAACAGGGTCAGGACAGAAATGACGGCCTGAACTGGGGATGGGCAGGGAGAAGAAACTCAACTTCTTTGAGCCTCCAGTTGATTATTTCTGAGTGCAGATGATGAGAAGTACATCATCACCAGCTCATATATTTTTTCACAAGCACTCTGCGTGTCTGGGTTATAGAGATCTGCTTGGCAGATGGAGGTGTTTTTAATGATCTTTCAGAGGAAGAATTGATAGGACTACATGATCTGAGGTGTGATGGGGAGGCAGGTGAGGTTGGCTTGGGTTTCTAATCCACTTTGTGCTCCCTAAATCTTGTTTCTCCAGCCTTGTCCTCCCTCTCACCCCAGCTGCCCTAACCTGGTTCCAGCAGGCTCTAGGGTGTGTTTTTCCCTTTTTGCCCAAGTAGTGCCTCTGGCCTGCCTCCTTGCTCCTGCTCCAATACTACTATTGGCTTTATGCTGTCTTTGAGCCTCTTGTGCTGGAAGGGCAGGAGGCCACCTCTCTGCAGCTGTGCTCTCTTCCTTCTCCAGGAGACGTGGGCTCCTTTGTATTGAAGCTGGTGGAGGGCCTTCAGGGCCAGACATGGGCCTCAGACTGGGCAGAGGAGCTTCGGCAAGCTGACCGAGAGAAGGATCAGTCCTTTCGGTGGGGGCTGGTGGACATGGAGGGTGGTGGGTTCCCAGCAGGGTCTGCTGCTGGTCCTGCTGACTTGCACTACTTCATTGCAGGGAGAAGGCGATGATGCCTGTAGCCCAGCACCTTAACCCGGTGCGGGTGCTGCAGCTGGTAGAGGAGACTTTGCCTGACAACTCAATTCTGGTGGTGGATGGTGGGGATTTTGTGGGTACTGCTGCCCACCTGGTGCAGCCCCGTGGCCCCCTGTGCTGGCTTGACCCTGGTAAGGAAGGGCCTATGCCTGGGGCAGCTTGTACCATCCATTTCCCTTCACACCCATATGCTCTTGGTTCTATTAGGGGCCTTCGGAACTCTGGGGGTTGGCGCAGGATTTGCACTTGGGGCCAAACTATGCCGGCCAGATGCTGAGGTGAGTCAGGGCACTGGAGGCAGGAGGCTTGCTACTCTGGGCAATAAACTACCCTAAACATTTCCTGTTCCACGTTAGGTCTGGTGCCTGTTTGGGGATGGAGCTTTTGGGTACAGCCTCATCGAATTTGACACCTTTGTCAGACATAAGGTAACTGGCTGCCCCAGGTGAAGTCTGGGGTTCTGGGAGGTGTCATCAGGGCTGGGCTGGGCTGGGCTGGGCAGGGAGTTGCTTCTGTCTAGCGGAGGTCTTGTCTCTGTGTCCTTTGGCTAACCAAGCCTGGTGGCTGAATGTCATGGCCTGGCCTCATCCTCTCCTTGCAGATCCCAGTGATGGCCTTGATAGGGAATGATGCTGGCTGGACCCAGATTTCTCGGGAGCAGGTGCCCTGTTTGGGCAGCAATGTGGCCTGTGGCCTGGCCTATAGTGGTGAGGGGGCCTGGCATGGGGGAGGCTATTCCTGGCTTGGCTGGGTGTGTGTTCTTCTCATGGTCAGGGCTTATGGTGGGCTAGGGACCAGCCACCATCTGACTTGCCCTCCCCTTTTAGATTACCACAAAGCAGCCATCGGTCTGGGGGCCCAGGGTTTGCTGCTCTCACGGGATAATGAGGATCAGGTGGTCAAGGTGCTTTGTGATGCCCAGCAGCAGTGCCGAGATGGTCATCCGGTTGTGGTCAATATCCTCATTGGGAGGACGGACTTCCGTGATGGCTCCATTGCTGTGTAGGGCCTTATGGGTGCTTTCTAATCCCTGGACTGCTTAGCTGGTCTGGAGTCTTATTCTTGCCTGCTCTGGGCCTCCAGTGACCCTACAATCCTCCCTGAGGTCAGGGAGGAGCTGGAGGGGTCAGGGCTCAGAGGGGCTTCCTGGAAGTGTTAGAGAGCTCTGAGGTCTTTTTCTTTGTGGTCCCAATTGTGCCCTTCCTTTTTTTTTTTTTTTCCTACACTAAATAAACCACCTCTGGTCCATGTGGGCCCAAGTACTCATCCCAGAACCTGTGCATATTGATTTATTGTTCACAAAGATGGAAGTGAGGGGAAGGGGTAGAAAGGAGGGGACCTTACTCTCCCACTGAGGCACCAGTACTGGGGATTTCAGGGTGCTCAGCATTGTGAACCCCCCACCCATGGTCCCTGAAAGAGCCCCACACGCCTGCTCCAGACGTGCCCATGCACACTCATCCTCACACACAGACACACGCACGGAGGCAATAAATATGTTCCGTACCAAAGTGCCCCCAGCCTGACACTTCAGGCGGGGCCCCTCCAAAAGGGAGGTCTTCTAAGTGCTCAGTTTCTTCAGGGATGCTGAGGAAGAATTGGGGAGCAGAAGGGCCAACCTCTACTATCTCCATTTGTTGGTTTGAGGCAATTGGGGTTTCCCTGGAAGAGAGTGGAGAAACCAGTTGTTTTTCTGCAAGCCCCAGGCTGCCCCTATCTAGCTGGAGCCCTGGTAGGGGCTGCTCTTGACCCCACTCCAAACAGCACCTCTTCATAGTCCTTGGGCCCTCTGAGGGAGGGAGAAGCAGAGTGCAGTGCTCAAAGCTAATACTGATGTGGTTGGCAGCAGCAAGAGGATTGACAGGTGGGGGGTGTCTCACCATCCCAGGGTGATGCTCACATTAACTGGTGTTTCCCTTGCCAAGGGGAGGCATGAGAGACCAGCCCAGTAAGCGGGAGAAGCCCCCATTGTACTCAGAAAAGATGGCCACAACAGCTAGTTCCCAAAATTCCCAGTCTCTGGCCTTTGTAACCAGTACCCAAATAATTTAGCACTGGAAACGAGAAATCTCAACATCTGGCTGGCTGGTGGTTAGGCAACTCCCCAGCAATCAGGAGCTAGGCCTGAAAGACAGGTCTGGTCCGCTTCTGTACTTAGGACACTGCCTTGGCAACCAGGAGCCCGGCCCTTAGTAACTGGGGTCCCGCCCCGCTTGGCTCAGAGGCACACGTTGATCTGCTTGGAAAGTTCTCTTTCTAGGTCCAGGATGAGGGCGTCAAAGTCTTTGAGGTTCAGGTGCGGGTTGAAGGGCGCCTCGAAGTCATCCTCGAAGTCGGCGGCACCCGCAGGCTCGCCTGCCTCCTCATCCTCGTCTTCGCTGTCGCTGCCTGTCACGTGGTCGTAGTCCGGCCCGGACAGGAAGTCCCGCCCACAGGGCAAAAAGTCCCTCCCGCAAACGCTCCAGTCGCCGGCGTAGCGGTTGCTCGGGGGGCTCTCGGGACCGCCCCGGCCACGGGGTCGAGTCACTACTTCGGCAGCCGCCAGCGGCAAATGCAGCGGCGGTTGTCGTTTGGGCCGCAGGTACGGGGCGAGGTCCGGAGCTTCTGGGGACCTACGAGGATCTGCAGAGGGAAGAGAGAGGGCTTGTGATGACATTATGTACCGGGCGGCAGTCGGGCCTCTGATTGGTTATTTAGTTAACCAGGCCGATCACGATCCCATTGGCTGGGCTGGTTGCTTAGGCAACCGGCCCTCTGATTGGCGTGTTAAGCAGTATCAAGCATGGATTGGCTGGATCTGAACTGGTTGCTGAGGCAACCAGGTAATGATTTACTCTAATGAGGGGGCACGGCTTGCTTGAAATACGAGACTCTGATTGGCTGCCAGAAAAAGCATCGCCGTGGCAGCCTGGCTTGGATTGGCAGCATGAGCCGGGGCGGACTCACCTGGCCAAGACTGCAGCAGGTAGTGGAGAACTTCGATGTGGCGCTTGAAGTCCACAGTGTTGGCAAGGCCCGGCCCAGAGCTGCGGATACGGGGCTTGCTGGGGTCCTGGCGCGCCGGCAGCAGTACGGGACCGAAGCACACGGCCAGGTTCTGAGCGGTCATGCGATTGTGGGCGTGGAAGGAGGAGACGAGGCGCAGGTGGTCTAGGAGAAGCGTCAGCGTGGCCTGCGGAGAGGGGGTTGGGAGAGCATAAGGAAGACTAAGGCTTCTCAGAATGGGAAAACTGAGGTTCAAGGTCCCACAGCTGGGAGATGATCGAGCTTAGACTCAACTATTAGGTAATAGCTTTGGAATGGCAAAGCTTGGACTTGAACCCATTCCTCTGTGGGTTAGGCAGGGTTGGTATTAATCCCATTTTAAAGATGAGGGTTTGGAAGCATAGAGAGGGTCTAGACTTCTCCAGGATCCTATAGCCAGGAACCTCCCTTGTGAGAGGTTGACAGACCTGTGTTCAGAGTGCATTTTTTATATATCCTAGCGGTGCAACCTTGGGTTATTCACTCAGCTGCTTTGGGCCTCAGTTTCCACATTTAGGAAGTGGGGATACTAATAGCAACTACTTTCTCATGCCACAAGCTCACGGCCATCACCGGCCCAGGCATAGGAATAATGTTCTACTAATGTCAGCCCACTCCCTGTCCTACCCATTCCCCCCCCCCCCCCGGGGCCCAACTCACCCTCTCCACATCTGGCAGGCAGCTGAGGAGCCCACGGGTACCCTCGGCGCTGGGAGGAGCCCTGCTTGGGGGCCCTTGAGCCATGGCTTCCAGCACCACTTGATAGAGGGGCTGGGTGATGAGTGGTGTGGGCAACTCCCGCAGATAATCCTTGAGGATGCCTGTGGACACAGGGCCCACTCTGGTCAGGACAACCCTGGCTTCTGATGCTGGAGGGGTCAGCTGGGGCTGAGAGGGGGGAAGAGGAGGAGGACAGGTGCAGGAAGGTGTAAACAAGGCTAGACAGAAGAGGTGAGGTTCCAGGGGGCCACAGGGACTGCCGTGAGGTAAGGGTTGAATGAGGAGCAGGTGGGGGAGGGAAGAGACATGCTGACCAGTGATGACATTGATATCGGGGTACAGGTCCTCAGAGAGGCAGACAGCTGCACTGTCCCGCTCAAAGGCATCCCGAAGCTCTTTCTTCACAGCTGCTGAACCACATAGACGGTATAGCCCCACTACCTAGGTGTGGGAGCAGAGAGGGAAAGTCTTTTTGCTGGGGCCACAGTTTGATCTGGTCCCATTGGGGTGTGGGCTGGAGTTCCAGATCAGGGTGGCAGTGGGCTGAGAAGTTGGGGGCTAGCTGTAGCCTTACTGGCTGCCTGGACAACCTGGATCTGTAAACCTTCTGCTTGGATCTCTTGTCCTGATACCCACATCCTTTGACTCAGGAACCTGACTTCTCAGCTCACTTGTCACCTCCTCTAGGATGTCTTCCCTAATTACCCCAACCAGCATGTGAGGTCCTGCTTTAAGCTCTCCCAGTTTCTTCAGTCTTATCCCAACCACAGTTTTACATTTGTTATTACGGGAGTCGTGTCTTTTCTGCCATGAGACTTTGAGCTCCAGAGGGCTGGGATCCTGTATCACTAATTGGTTGGATGACCCCTAGGTTTTGGGCTGAGTGCTATGGCCTAAGGGGCCCTCCTGCCCTTGTCTAGGCTGGGATTGGAACTAGGAATATCACAGGTGGGGTGGGGTGGGGAGAGAGAAGGCCTGGCTTCTGTATATTGGGCATCCTGGGGAGTGGATCTCAGGTCTGGGGCTAGCTGGGGTGTGGGTGAGGGGCTCACCCGCAGCCCTCGGCGCTCGATCTGCCCAACACACTTCTGAATGATGAGGGGCACCTGGCCCGGGGGCTGCTCCCGCTCCACCAGCAGCCGCAGGGGCAGCCCAAAGACACGAGGCTCAGCTGTTTCAGGTGCTTCCTGCTGCTCTGACAGGGTCAGCTTGGCATATAGCAGCCCCTGGGGCTCCAAGCGCACAGCCAGCTGCTGGGCCTGACAACCTGAGGACACAAGGGGACTTGAGTGGGGTCTGCCCCCACAGGCTCCTGTTCCCTGGCCTCCTACTCCAAGCCACACCCCCACCCTGGGCTTAGTGCTCTGGGCACTCTGGAGGAAGGGCTGAACCTTGTAGCCTACTGACCCTCCCCCACAGCCATACATCCTACCTCGGAAAACCATGGGCAGCAGCACAGTGCCCTGGGCGCAGGGCCGGTGCCTCCGCACACAAGGGTCCCACACCAGCACCAAGGCTCGCAGCAGCCGGGCAGCCTCAAGTTCCAGGTGGAAGGTGTGGTCCAGACGCAGAAAGTCTGGCCCTCCACGCAGAGGACCAGTTCGGGCCCTGGCCACCCCATCCACCTGTAGCAGGCAGCAAAGGTCTCTAGGGGTGGCCCCAGGCGCAGGCCGCAGCCCTCCCAGCCCATACAGGTGGAGGCTGAGGCGGCCCCAGAGTGCGGCAGGGGGTGCCCGGGCTGATGGGCCCACCTCATAGGGCTGGAAGGCAGTGGGTGACAGGGTCCCTGCTGGGCGCTCTGGTGAGTCACCATCACTGAGGTACCCGGCCCGCAGGCCCCGAGCACCCCCGACCACTGCCTCCCGCCCAGGGGTCCCTACGCTGCTGTCCAGGTGGTAACGGCTAATGACGGAGCCAGTGGGGGCGGCCCGTTCTCGCTCTCTGCCAGCCCTGGTGCCCCGCAGGCTGAGGCGGCGCCGTAGCTCTGGCAGCTTCTTCATTTTCATGGAGAGGCGTCTGGCAGCGCCTGGGGACTTGGTTCGAGAGGCTTTGGTTGGGGAGTTGGCAGGGGCCACACCTGTGGGAACAGCAAACCTCAGGGTTCAGCAACCTGGACTTGGAATGGGGCTGAGGCCTGTGGTCATCTTGGGGAGCCAGAGTGGGGGTTGGGGAGTGGGTGAGGCTTGTGCTCACCTGGTGGGGAAATGTCCTCTGGTTCAGCCAAGCCTGGCTGTGGCCCTGGGGTCTCAGGTACCAGGGGTCTGGGGTCCTCCTCAGGGATGGGGTTGTACCAGATCTCGCCTGCAGGCTCCCCACTTCCAGGTGCCCCAGGCCCCAAACAGGCTTCCTCAGGTGGCTTGGCCCCGCCCAGCACCCATCTGCGACTGCTGGGCTCCAGACTCTGCAGATAGGCCCCCCGTGAAGGACTTCGAGATGCCTCAGGGCTGGGGGGCCCCTCTGCTCCAGCCTGAGATGCTTCAAGGGCCTGGGGCTCTGGCTCTGGAGAACTGGGCTCCGGGTGCTGGGCTGGGTGGCCTGGCAGAGAGCAAGGGAGTAAGACCCAGGCCCCCAGGCCCTCAGGCCCTCAGGCTGCCAAAAGAGCAGCCCCAGCCTAGGCTCTTCCCCCAGCAGGAGCCCAGACGTTTGTTTGGAATGAAATTGATCTCCAGGTTAGAGTCCACCCCATTTTAGTCCCTGAAGTCCCTAACGTCCCTCTGCTTCCAACGTCAGGAGTGCTTAGGTGGGATCCTGTGTTCCTGGCTCTGATTCTTCACCCCTCCCATTAACCATGGCATGGAGCTCTGTCCCTGTCCCTTCTCACTGGGTGGCTTGGGGCAAGTCACTTCTCATCTCTGAGCCTCAGTGTTGTCCTGTAACATGGGGGGATTTGATGCTCTTGCCAAGGGGGTTTTAGGGAGCTAGACATAGGGAGCACTTCCTAGGCCCCCATGTCGTGATTAAGCACATAGCACACAGTGGACATTGGCTGGCTTGCTTGGAAGACAGGAGCAGGCATGACACTGAGCACAGGGTTCTCCTTTCCTGTAGCATGTCACCCCCTCCCCGCAATTCTGCCCCTCCCTGGGAGTGGGCCATCCCTCAGCGCAGACCAGAACCCATGGTCAGTGAGTGCCTTGGCGCCTCCCCTTTGCTTGGTCCTCCCCTCTCTGACATCTCAGGCTGTTTCCTGTGTGTGTTTGTGCGTGGGCACCCAACCCCATCTCTCTACTCTGGGAATCTTTGGGAAGGGCAGGAGGGGAGGTCAGATCCAGGAGTCATCTGGCCTCCCCTCTTTAACTCCTTCCTTCCCCAGACTTCCTGCCCTAGGCAGCTCCCATTTCTTTTAAGGTCTCATCTTGCTTGCCTGCGGACTCTCTCCTCCCATCACCCCTGACTTCTATCCACAGGACTCTCTCCAGCGTCTCTATTGGGAGCATAGTCCAAAGAGGTGTTTAAGACACTTCATTAACCCTGGGCAAATTACCCAACTGCTCTGTGTCTCAGTTTCCCCATCTGTATCAAGGGGACAGTTTCCTGGGGCTGCTTAAATTGAATGCAGCTGCAGTAATTGGTTAATAGGTGGGAGGGGGATGAGGGGTGCCTACTGTGATTGATGTGCCAGGTCTCTCCCTCCTGCAGAAGTGTACCCCCACCTCCTTTCCCGGGTCTCCAGGGCTCAGGGTGCCCCTTGCCCTGACTGGGCTCCAGTGTTCCGGCCTCCCAGTTCCTCCTCCCTCCACTCTCCAGGCGCTCCGTATGGGCCCAATTTCCTGTCAGGGGCGAGGCCCCTCCGGGGCCTCCCAAAGAGCCCGCAGCTCTGGCATCCTGGGCTACACATAACGGTCCGCACCCCCTCCACCCCCAGCCCCTTCTTCCCAGGACCCCTGCCCGTCCCGATCCTTCATCCCAACCTGAAGAGGGCTCCACAGGGATCCCCTATCCTCTCAGAAGACTCTCCTTGGGCCCCTGGACCCCCTCCAGGCCAGTCGGGTTCGGCGCCCCCTCCTTCACCCCCTGTCCTGCTCACCGCGCTCCTTTGCGTCAGACTTTTTCCGGGGAAGTTTCTCCCGGCCCCGCAGGCGGGAGAAGGTTTTCCTGAGCAGTGGCTCGGCCATGCTGGGGCCCCGGCCGGGCCGAGTGCGAGCCGCCCCCAGCCCGCCCTGCCCGGCCGCCCCGCCCGCCCTGCGTCCAGCTCCAGCAGGAAGCGCATTCCGGGAATGCTTGGCCCAAACCTTTCTTTCCCCTTCCCGCGGCCTGAGCAAGCGATGCTGGGACTTGTAGTCGCCCAGGCCAGGAGGGGAGGGAAAGGGGGCTCCAGGATGCCTTAATGGGCTCCAACTTCGATATCATGGCGCAGCCCCGGGCCCTCATCCTTCCACTTTCCCCGTCTCCCTTGGTGATCGCTAGTTTTCTTGGCGTTACTTCCAAAACACGTCCTGCATGTATTCATTCTCCCCTCCCCATCTACTGTTCTAACCTGTTGCAAGCCCTGGTATCACGCCTTTCGATGACACCCCTCTTTCTTAGTCCCCTGTATGCCACCCCAGTGCCTCCCTCCTCCACCGAATTCTGTCTGCCTTCCCAATTCCAGTTACTACTGCTGTTTAACAAACCACCCCCAAACTCAGTGGTGTAAAATAGCTGTTGTATGATGCTCATAGATGCTGTGGGTCAGGAGTTGGGGCAGGGCAGAGCTGATACTGTCTCTGCCCCTCAGTTGGAAAGACTCTGAGACAAATCATCTGGAGGCATGTTCACTCACAGGTCCTGCAGTTGATGCCAGCTGTGGGCTGGGGCACCTACATGGGCCTCTCCTTCCAGGAGGCAGGCAGGATTCTTACACAGCCACCCCCGTCTCCAAAAATGAACAAGGCAGAAACCCACCCTTGGGTGTCACACTGTTACTTCTGGCCCCAGAAGGGGAGATGACATTGATCCTATCTCTCTCAGTGGGTGATGTGTCAAGGTGACCTTGTGTAAGAGGATGTGGGATGAGAGATATTATTGTGGTGGTCTTGGAAAATTTAACCCTCCTCACCCCTGCATTTCTATCTGAACATTCAGCAGTGAACAAGACAGACAAGCATCTGGTGGAGCCTCAATTTAGACAAGGACACAGATAAACTAGAACAAACTATTGGTGCTATTAAGTTCAAGCTGAAGAAAGTATTTGAAGAAGTTAAATATAGTGGTGTAATCATGACTGGATGGTGGTAGGGTATTGGGGAAGGTCTCCCAAGGCGGTACCACTGAAACTAAAGGATGAGAAAGAGGCAGCTTCCGAAGAATCAAGTCTTCTAAGGCAGAGGAAACTGTGTGCCAGGTGATGGAGTTTTGGACAAGATGGGTGGCCTTTCTCTGGATAGAGAAAGTGTGTTTGCTTATTATGTCTCAATGTAAATCTTTGTATTTAGCCTACTTGGAGTTCTTTGAGCTTCTTGGGTGTGTAAATTTACATCTTTCATTAATGTTGGGAAGTTTTTGGCTATTATTTCTTCAGCTATTCTTTCTGTCCCTTTTTTTTTTCTCATTTTCTGGGAGTCCCATTATGTATATATTGGTATGTTTGGTAGTGTCCCACAAGTTTTTTAGGCTCTGTTTATTTTCCTTGGATGTGTGCATTTGGGAGGAGTCAGGTAGGAGAGGGATGGGGTGCACCTCATCAGATCCCTGCCCAGATGTCTTTGAGGTAACTGCTGATAGTGGGGAGAGAGGTTGGAGGTCACGATAATACCTCTTCACAAGTACAAGGCAGGGGATGCAGGACTAGGGTCCCATTGGGGTACCCTTGGACCTCAGAGGAGCTAGAGGCCAATGTGGGGGTGAGAATAGCCCTGGCCCGGCCCATATCACATCAGATAATTAAAATAACAGCTACATGCCATATCAATATTTATTATTTTTCTTGGTAAACCTTTTGGGAGGGTTTCTGTGCTTTTTTTTTTTAATCCTCACCAGAGGATATGTTTCTATTTATCTTTAATAGAATGGGAGGGAGGGAGGGGGGAGAGAGAGAGAGAGAGACATTGATGTGAGAGAGACACGTCAATTGGTTGCTTCTCACAAGACCCCAACCAGGGTCAGGTACTGAACCACAACCAAGGCACATGCCCTTGACTGGAATTGAACCCGTGACTCTGGTCTGCAGGCCGGCACTCTAACTGCTGAGCCAAACCAGCTAGGGCATGTACTTTTTATGTTGCATTTATTTGACTACATGTAGCTCATATAATTCACAGATGGCTATGTGTTTTTTTTTTGGTATGTGCCCCTAGTGGGAACCGAACCCAGGACTCTCTGATCCACAGGCCGATGCTGCAACCGCTGAGCCAAACCGGCCAGAGCTGGCTCTGATTCTTTATCAGCAATCAGAAATTCTTTTTTTTTTTTTTTGGTACAGATAGAGTGGGAGGGAGAGAGAGTGAGAAACATCGATGTGAAGGGACACATCGAGTGGCCGCCACCCGCATGACCAACCAGGGCCGGGGACAAACTGCAACCGAAGTACGTGCCCTTAGCGGGAACCGAACCCGGGTCTCTCCGGACCGCAGGCCGACGCTCTAACCACTGAGCCAAACCGGCCAGGGCCAGAAATTCTTGATAAGTGAGAACAAATGATCTACAAATTGTACATAATGAAATGGTTATGAGTGCTAAACTTAACACTTCATGACACTTGTGCTATTATTCATCTGGATTTTGGAGCATATGTGTGTGTGTGTTTTCTTTCTCCCAAATGTTCTCACTGGCTGCAGGCCTAATGTGCTGTTCTTATGGTGCTGAAGGATAAATCAGCCTCCAGCATATACAACGATTTGTTGAAAGAAGAAACACAGGTAGCCCGGCTGGTGTGGCTCAGTGGATTGAGTGTCGCCCCCAGGACTGAGAGGTCTGGGTTCGATTCCCAATCAGGGCACATACCTGATCCCCAGTAGGGAGCATGCAGGAGGCAGCCAGTTGATGTTTCTTTCTCACATCAATGTTTCTGTCTCTCTCTAAAAAAAAAAAAATCAATAAAATATGTTTTAAAAAATGCAGATAGAGGAGGCTGGCCAGGTTTGAGCAGAGCTCTGCAGCTCTGTGGCAGACAACGGGATTTGGTGGGTAAGTACCCCAACTCCTCACCCTCATATGGAGCGACTGAGGTGTATGTTCCACACTGAGTCCCAGAAGTCCCTATGGGATTGAGCTCTAGCTACCCACAGTGGAAACTTGCATATCAATACATTCTTTACCAATTTAATTCCTTTCTCAGCCTCACTTCTTCACCCCTCTTCCAGACATTCTCTCTAGGGCTCAATTTTCTTATCAGGCCCAAAAGAAGACTGATTCCTTCTGTGGGGTAGGGCCTGAGTCTGTGGGCTAAGTTCCCTGTCCACTACCTCCCAGGATCCTTAGTTCCTGGGGAATGGAAGGTGGAGAAGGTTTTGGGGAGTAGGCCCCAGCTTCCACCTTCTGTTGTCCCTGCACCTGAGGTTCACTTGCATCTGGCATATTCCGGGTGAGGAGGTGAGTGTTGCAGAGGAGCCAGAGAAGAGGCAGCCGCCCAGAGATGTCCACTGGGGCACCGTTGAGGAGCTGGAAAGAGAGAGGGTGGTCCAGGTACCATGAGGTAGCCTCCTGAGGTGGGGTGTGGTTTCACTTGGGAGGCAGTAAGTGGGGTAGCATACCTTAGCCAGAGCCTCTCAGTGGCCTTAGAAAAACCTGGCCAGGCAGCTGTGGAGCTGAAGCTGAGCTGCAGGAGGTTACCAGTCACCTTTGAAGTGCCTTCCTTTTATCAGCTCTACAGCTGGGCTCTCCTGCTGGCCAGGCGCCTGCACACGCCCCAGGATACATTCTGCAGCTGGCTACCTGCAGCATGCCAAGAGCTGCCCTGGTGCCTCCCTTGCAGGGACTAGGGGTGCTGTGTGGCCATCACAGCCTCATAGATGCTGGTTTTTCCAGAGGAAGGGGAGGCAGCTTGAAGAAGGATGGTCAGTCAGGTAGAAAGAGGTAGTCTAGAGTGGGCAGGGAGGCAGGGACCTCATGTCATTTCTCAGCCTCTCCCTCCTCCCTCCTGGGTCTCTGGGCTCTCCTGCACATTCCAAAGAAAGGTTTGGCCCCTGACTGGCTCTTGGGAGGTAGCCTCTAAGCCCTCTTTGTATACCTGTGGGCCATGCCAGAGAATTATGTTGATAGCATAAGTTTTAGTGGGTGCCATGGGCCACACTGTATCAGTTTGACCTCTAGAGGGGCCAGAGACTGAGTAATTAAGGTGAGCCACATGTGGTCAGCCATGTCTATGTGACTATTATGGGCTGAATTGTGCACCTACCTCCCCAACCAATTCATATATTAAAGTCCTAACCCCCTGGACCTCAGAATGTAAATGTATTTGGAGAGAGGGTCTTTAATTAGGTGATAATTAAAATGAGGTCTTTAAAGTGGGCCCTAATCCAATACAACTGGTGTCCTTATAAAAGGAGGAGATTAGGACACAGACATGTGCTCACACGAGAGGGAAGATGATGTGGAGACGGGAGAAGATGGACGTCTGCAAGTCAAGGAGAGAGGAATCAACCTGCCGATGCCTTGAAATATGGAGACTTTCAGCTTCCCAAATTGTGAGTAAATAAATTTCTGTTGTTTAGCCACCCAGTCTGTGGTGGTTTGTTATGGCAGCCCTAGCAAACTGATACAGTGGCCAACCCCCACTGAGAACCAGGGACACTAAGACTTAAGTAAACTTCCCTGGTTGGCAGTACATCACATGTATTGTTACATATCATTGCTGGGAGAATTAAGCACTATCCACACAACTCTACAGGGAATAAAACAGGAAGCTTATGCCTGGTCTCTGTGAGATCCCATCCCTTGTGCTTTTTATCTTTGCTGATTTTAATCTAATTCTTTCCCTGTGATAAACCATGAGTATAACAACTTTGTTGAATTCTGTGAGTCCTTCTAGTGAATCATTGAACCTGAGGGTGGGCTTGGGGACCTCCCACTATGCAGGTTCACGGAGATGGTATTGACTCTCCAAATCCCTGGCAAATGTATACGTGGGCGTAGGAGCTCCCCTCCAGGACCTTACGTATAACTTACTGAGTTCTGCCTCATGCTTTGCTAGCAGTGGCTTTGCAGCCACTTCCACCAGCT